GCACCACACAGCACAGCAACTGCCCAGCCAGAGGACAAGTGGGTAAAAAGAGACTGCTACAGATACAGGGACTGCAAACATTCCTTGTGCCAGCAGGCAGGGTCACCAGCACATGTCCCTTTTTTCCGACAAGAGTGGGATCTCTTTCTCAGAGAAAAGTAAGCATAAAAGATCTGCTTTTTGCTGATACACTGGACATCGAAATTCAGCCCAGTTTTTTAATGCAGCACTTTTTTTTAAACCTCTTTAGTACCTGAGTTGCTGTTGTTGCTCATAGAATAATACACTGCTGTATGTTGAGAGCTGAACAACAGTCATTCACAATATGTTTATGCATGCAATTCATTTTTACCATGATAGTCTGGGGAAGAAAGGCTTGTGCAACCCACAGACTCCACAGGCACATCTTTCTCTTATGTCTGCATGAATGTCTGTCAGCTCACCTCAGAACAGTGATATAATCTACTGAATAATTTTTAAAGAATTTGAAGTAGGGGTGCGTTCCCAGATTCAGAATCGAAAGTTATTCTTCATCAGCTTCAGCTGCAATGAAAGGATGTTGTGATCCATCAAATATAATTAGAAATAGCAGCAGACGATGACACATACTCACATTAATGAGGCACAAAACACACCTGCTAAGGAAACAATGGTAGTGTACAGCATGACCTACTTTCTTCTTCAGTGTAATTCAGGTTACAGATTTAGGGGTAAATAAAAGCATTGCTTGAGTTTTGAAGGTACTGAATATGAGAAAGCATTTTGATTAACAATACCTTTTCTTGCACTTTAATATGGAGAGTTTTAAAGCCTCTATCTAGAAAAAACACCCAGGTGACACAAGAAAAATATCTAATCTTGCTGACAGTGAAACAATATGAGAATACTAGGTTTTAAGCTACATAACTGTTGGTGATACCACCATCACAAAAATTTAACTATGTATTTTTACTAAATAGAAGGACAAAATCACTGTTTTGCCTAAAAGTATATAATGAAACCTCATATGACCTAGCAAAAGTTTCTCTCCCATCAAGTCTGAGGTATAAAGTATGATCAAAAATTTAAGCAGGAAACACTGCCAGCCAGTAATGAAGAGGGAAGATAGAAACTGAGATAAAAATGGTGGGGTGCTGTGACTGATATACCCATAGTCTTTGATATCCATACTCTCAACTGGGAGAATGATAGCTAAAGGTATTAGAGCACCATTAATTTAGAAGATTGTAAAAAATCAATGGGACAAGTAAAGAACAGGTGTGGTGCTACAAGCTTTATATATTCTTACTAATGGATCATATGTTACTTACTTTTCTTGATCAATGATGAGCCATTTCAACTCGGAAAAATCAACAACAAAATATTAATTTCCCTAAATATTTTCATATCTCCTTTTGGAAATCTTTGTTTCTCAAGTGGATTTTTTTTAATGTGTACCTTCCAGGAAGTTGCATTCCTAAAACAAAATATTTAAATTCAATGTAGAAACAAGTCATGAGTCTTTGTACATTCCAGAGCACAGATCCAATACTACTATGGGTAGAGCAGAAAAATACAAAACAGACATACCATGAAGCTCTGCAGCTTAGAAATTCTGCCACTTCCATATAATTCAAGAGCTGCCCCAGGGAAGATGAAACTAAGGAACAGATGTGTACCTACTGGAAAGCCTGAAAGAAGGAAGGAGGAAGATCACAGATGCCCACAGGCTGAAAACTGACCATGTTATCAGCATCATTTTGACAAAATAAAAATATTGATTTGGAGCCAGAAAGACTATGCTCCTTCAGTCTCTATCTTTTTCTCAGAGCTTTTAAAACTGGTGTCAATTATTTTGAGGCAAATTTCTATATACAATACCTCAAAATCATTTTTTCTTCTTTTTACTTCTTTTTTTTTGGATGAAATCACTCTTTTCAGTCCTCAGGTTACAAACTAAAAGATCACAAATTTCATTCATCCTTCTTCTATCAGCTTTTACAGCAAATAGCATCACTCTGTTGGAACCTGTCCCACAAGTTACTTTCATGTATGCTTCATTTTCCCCGTGCTTCTAATCTAAGATCACAGCAGGAGGCAGAGGTAAAAGTCTTCCTGTGGTTACCGTTCCAAGAACTATAAAGCCAATGTGTTGCATAAATAATCATGTAACAACAATATATTAATACATATCCTTTTTTAAAGGAAGTTATGCAGCAAATTCCATTGTCTTCTAATTAATTCAGGTAAATAAAATAACATGTTTGTACTTTGAATATTATACATAAGTATCTCTGATAGTTTTATTATATATCCTATGTAAAGCAATATTTGAATCATATTGTTGCATTCATAACTATATCCATGTTGGATATTGACTTCTGCTAGGAGGCTAGATTTGCAGAAGGAAAATGCCAAATCTTACACAAGCAAGTGATAGAAAAATACAGTCATTCCTACTTCAGGCTGACCTTTAGATCAATGACCTTCTTCTGCCCTAAAGCATCTGTCAACAGGAAGTGCCACAAAACACCGTTGCTAACCTTTATTCTTTAATTCTCCTCTCTTACTATGCCCTGCAATTCAGGTTACATCTACTATCCCCTGAGCCATTAAAAAACTCCTGGATTTTGCCCCTAGGGCATTTATTGCATCTCTTACTTTCCAGTATTTAAAAAGCCAGATGGTAAGGGTAACACTCACTTTCTCTGATGTAGTTTTCTTGGATAAAAATAACTGTCAGTCTACGTGGTTTTTAGCAGTAAATAATGAATTTATTCAGTGCTACAAACAAACTAGACTGAGTTTTAGAAAGAATCAACAATATCAAAACCTGCCTATTTTTAAAACTCTAGCAAATTTGCCTGTCAGCAATGAACTACAGATTGCCAACCTGCCATTTCAAATGAAAAACACCTCCGACATTCTTGAATAGTGTGAATAAAAGTTGGGGTTTTTTCCTTCTTCTCCATTTTGTCGTCCTTCCTCACTTATTTTGTGGCTACTTTATTAGAACCTGAATTTATAGTTCATCCTGGTATTCATGACAGATAAATAGATACATACAGTGACAACCTCAAGTACATTGCCATCACTCACACTGTTAGGACTTTTGCCTAGCAATTTAATCTTATTCTGACTAGCCACAAGGCAGCTACATGTAATTAGTGAATAGAACAAATGTTAGATTTCTTTTATATTAAATTGCTTTCTAAGCAAAGGCACAATTTCCTGAGAAGTCTCTTTTGACTTCTGCTCACATAGGAACATCAAAGCCCAAGTAACAAAATAAAGATGTAGACTCAGAGAAAGATTCATCACAAAAAAAGATATAATTTTTTTATCATGTGTAGAGTGAGACTGCAGACAGATATGATACAGGATTTCATGTGATAAAATTAAAGCAGCTTGGACTTAAAGAAGGCAAGGAATGTTATAACAGCTCTGTTCTATAAGCAGAGGAATATTCTGAGACTTCAGGACAATTATGTTTAACAACCGAATGCTTTAACTTTGTTGTTTAGCTTTTATCCAATGGTTTATGTTCGCCTCACCATTAGGCAACTTTCTGTCAAATCACTTACCCATTATATAAATTAATGGCTCTGCCATTCTGAGGCATATTTATATGCATGAAGAAAACTCTTGAATTTATTGGAAGTCTGAAAGCACAGGCACTCAAAGTGAAATAGATGTGCAGCAGGGAAACAAAAAAATTTAAAAATAAAAATTAAAAAAACCCACCATAAATTAATCACATAAATTTTTCACACAACTGCCTGCACAGTCCCCTGTATATTTTCCTAATATTATTTACCTAAAAATAAAAAAAAAAATTAAAAAAAGATAAATATCTAGAAGGTTATTTGTCCTTATTTTGTTCTAATTTCAGCAAACTGGACAGATGGGATGCAGAGAAATGAAGAGAACTTGAGAAAACTGTATAATCTGTGGTAAGATTTGCAGGCTGGTTGACTCATCACATATTACCATTTTTGGAGGGGAAGGACTCTGGCAACCTGAATTTCATACTAAGACAAAAAAGCAGCCAAATTTTGTTGTGGTGATATAGGCTATGTGTGACAAGTTTCTCTGCTAGAGTGTTAGGGTGTGCTGTCATGCACTAAATCTAAGTGTTTTGCTTAGAAAAGGCAGTTTTAAGGTATGAATGGGAGCCAGTAACCCAAACTGGAGCCTGCTAACCCTCCATCTGAGCTGATGTAGCTGTTGGAAGCCCTGGGTATACATCTTCTCTTTGCCAGCCCTCATTGCAGATGCCTTTGCTGGACATTGCTGGTTGATGAAGGGGAAGGGGGTGGTTAACCCCCATCTTTAGGACCAAAAGTTAATCCCAGTAGTTCCTAGGGTCTACAAGTTCAGTTAAGGTAGATAAAGACTGCAGGGCAACCACTGACAAATGGGGCAATTATGACTCAGCTCATCCTCTTGTGCTTTGATTGCTTCTCGCTAATTGCTTAGAGCCCAAAGGTGGAATTTTAGCAGAGCTGTTTCTCCCTGTACTATTTATTAGGAGATACTCAGAACGTTGTTATTGAAATAGTTCACTGATAAGGTTAATACAAACATAAGACTTCAGGGCTTTTAAAAAAGGTGTTTTTAAGGTCTAGACCACAGGAGCATGAACGCACAGCTTCAGCACAGAGAACATCAGAATAACAGGCTGGGAGAGAATTTTTCAGCCAGTGCACAAAGACTGCTTCTCTCTTGACCTCTGAAATTAACTTGATTTTAAATATGCAATAGTTATTACAAATTCTTCCTAAATGAAGGTTTAAGACAAAAAAGAAGTGACCTGAAAGGGGATGGGCTCCCCTTCTTTCAGGGAAATTGAAAACAGATACATTTAACAATGTCCTGGATTTGGCTTGGCTTCCATCTTGGTGTTTGTCCTATTTTTAATGTAGGACAAGAGCAGAGGAAACATAGCCTTGTTCAAACCAACTAAAGATAGAAATAACAAAACTAGGGTTAGTTTTAAGCATAGTTCATTCTTCTCTTACCATTTGTTCTAAGCATTTCAGGGTAGATTGTTCTGCACATGTCACTTTCCTGCTCAGATGGTGTCACGGCTTAACCCCAGCTGGCAACCTGTCACCACACTCACTCCACTGGTGGGATGGGGGATAGAACTGGAAGAGTCCAAGTGAGAAATCTCATGGGTTGAGATAAAGACAATTTAATTGGTAAAGCAAAAGCCATGCAAGGAAGCCAAGCAAAACAAGGAATTTTTCACCACTTTCCATCTGCAGTTAAACCATTATGTAGAACAAATTAATTGCTATATATTAATTTCTAAACAACCTAGATTTAATTCTTAAGATATCTAGACTGACATTAAAAATATATTCATAACCGTGTTCTTCCTCTGTGTCGTGAATACGGTTTTGTAGGCACAGCTACACTTTAAGAAAAGATATGATAAGAAAGTTCAGAAAAATCTTATTCTGCTTTCTTTTAGACAGAGGTTAGAATTCCTATCCCAGCCATTTGCAGAATATCCATTTTATGTGTAGAGCAAGACAAATGACTTCCTGTTTTGATGATTTTTTAGTATTATAAAATAGCCTTAGTCACAACACTTAAAATTACTTCTAGAATATCTTACAGAATCTCAATTCTGAAGCTTTACATTCAAGAAGAATTTTTCTTTTCATAGAATCTGTGTAGAAAAGTGGATGCTTCAATGGAGCATCCCTGGACCTTGCCATATGATAGTGAAAGGGATGGTTTCAGTCTTGCATCACACTCCAAAAAAGAGACAAATATCAATAATGATTGCAGTCATGTAAACAGATTGATATATTTTTAAATAGGTCAGTATAATTCTTACATTTACATCATTACACAAAAAACAATATCTTCAGAAAATGCTTACACAGAAAAATAACAGATTTTTTCATACAGCAGTATGTTTTGTAGTTTTAGAGCACAGTTTATAGGAGTGAAAAATGCAAGTAAGCCTCCCACGTAAAACACTTTTTAAAACAAACCATGTGGAAAACCCTCCTAAACTTCACAAAGAGAAAAACAAACCAGGACAGCATTTAAATACTGCTAGTGTCAAAATGTTAGGTCTTTGATAATGGGTATATGTGAGAAGGTTAGCCACAACTATTTTAATATTTTTGAAAAACATTTCTAGCCTGCTGAATGAGCGTCTTCCTCTCTTTCTCATTTTCAGGAGAGACAGAGAGGTTATGAGCTGATTAGGAGTCCAATCAGAGGCTGCCCTTTCTATAACTAGTGCAAAAATCTATTTTAAAAAATTATGTATCTTAGCTGATTACCTTACCTCAGCTGATGTAGTTTTTTCTTTAGACAGCTTCATGCTTGCAGTAGCCAGTTTCCTCTGGAATATGAATTTCTGTCAGCAGAAATGAAACATACATCAAAGTAAATAAAAAGGATGAAACTTTTAAAATTAATTAACCATTATATACTGATAACAAGTTTAAATCTTTAGTCCAGATATCACTGCCAAGTTCACTTGTTTCACAATTATAACAATTTGTGACAAAGATTTTTTTGGTTTTCAGTCAAAGAATTTTTAATAATTTCTAAATGATGCAAGACTGGACCTGATCAGGAAATTTTCAAAGAAAAATGTCAGTTTTTTAAAATAGAAGCTCTTCAGAAAAAAAGATTGCAAAATCTTGTGCCAGAAATAAACACCCTGTGACTCCAAGATATTCTTGACCACACCAGGATTAGACACTATCACGTGCTACTAATGCTCAGTGTACTTTCAGGCCATGAAATTCAAACTCTTGGTCCAAATGAGATACAAGAACTATAGACTCCTATGAAACACGTCTGGATCAATAACTTCTGCCAAAGGGTTTACATTTTGCATAGAAAAAGGGCAGGTTAATTCAGGGGAATTAGACTAGTCCTCTCTTTCATGCACACAGACAGAGAAACAAGCTTCTCCAATATCTTTTTCTGTAGTATACATTAGAAAAAAAATCAAAATTACCTAAATCCTGCTATAATCAACAGTAAACCAGCTCTTTCACCATTTTTACACAGGGGTTGTAACTAGAGAGCATTAACATCAGGTTCCTTCAATTTTACTGGAGATCATTGTTAAACATTGTAAACATTTCACCAAATTGCCTGCAATCCAGGACACCATATTAAAAAAAATATTTAAAAGAGTACCTGAAAAATTTGTTAACATAAGATCTTCAAATTAAAACTGGCTGTAAAAGATAACAAACAAAAAAAAAAATAAAACCAAACTGAAGATTATATAAATATATGTGTGTATATATATATGTGTGTGTGTGTATATATATATATATGTGTGTGTCACTCATGTCCTCAGGTAAACACAGCATAAAATTTTAAAAATATGGAAACAAAAATACGGACATTAAGACAACATATACATGCATTTGAATTGTCTGATATGTTTAAATATACTACTAAAACGTCTATGTTCTCCATGGAAAATGTTGTAATATTTTACCAAAATATTTCCCAGATCTAGATACCAAACAGGAAAAAGGAAAAAGTAGCACCAGAGAATTAGCTTTCAATTGCAATAATGGAACTAATATTGAAAAAATTTAACAGGATCATTCCTGTCTTCTCTGTTCTCTTCAACAACAAAAAAGTTTTGCATTTCTGTTTCTCTGCCCATTTTATTACCAAATGTAATACAACCTGATTGTTTCCTAAGTTCAATAGTTTATATTTCAAATAAGTTTTACAGTGTAGGTAGACAAAGAAAGGGAGTAGCAGAAACAGAAACCTCACTGACCAGTGAAGGGTGGTCTCATCTAGTTTTATAGATTAAATGTAAAGAAAAGTAAAAACCTCTCCAGAATGAAAATACTGAGGATAGGTGGAAGAAAGACTGTAGGAAGAGACAAGGTTCAAGAGTTCTAGGTTAAGAACCAGAAGGCATTTATTGAAATCTATGACTAGAACATGTATTCCTATGTAATTGGTACACTTCATGCAAAACCACCAGATGGACACAATTCCTAAACAGCATGTAAGGATTAGAAGCAATGGTCAGAGATGCTACATTATTTTTCCCCAAGAAGGATGAAAACTTTGCATGACACTAAGAGTAAAGAACCATAAAGCATTTAGAGAGAGACATAAAGCAGTCAGATGTCTTAAGTGGATAAGATAACTTCCAAAAGTGTGATACACAATACTGCCTCCCTACAAACAACTCAGAACAGAGATATGTAGTCTCAGTTGTATTGAGGTGCAAAATGTACTTGGATAGCTCAGCTATCAATATCAGCATGTTTTCTCCCCAAACTCCAGCTACAATACCTGATTTCCACACAAGATGATTATTATATTAATCCAGACCTCATATTTTGTGTATAAATATGAATTTTACAATCCATGTGCCTGCCCAGAGCTCAAAGAGAAATTGCCCAGACACACCCAGGAAGTGGATATAGCTTCCAAGAGTAGCCCCTAGCTTTTCTTACAAATAATTTTCCTCTCATAATTTTAAGTCTTTAACAAATAAAGGGGGAAAAAGATTAAAAAGTGAAAAAGCCACCCAAACAGTACCATTAATTAACAAAATCAGAAAAGGAAACAAAAATTTGCTGACTTTATATCATCAAATTCAACCAAGGCTGGGAAAAATCATTACTTCAAGTATACTTTAGGTACATTTCTGCATGAATTCTTTCTTTTTTGAAAGGTCAATTAAATGCCAAAAGTGTAACTAAAAATGAGAAACTGTTTAACATGCAGCAGTTATAGCTTGCTGTTGGTATACATTATATGTAATTATGTACTTCATAATCATTTCAGAAAAAAATATTATAAAACATTTACAAAATATGTTCAGCCTGATAGTCATAACTAGATTTTTTAAAATACTTTCAGAAATACAAATAAGCGGAAATTTACTCCACTTATTTAAATTGTTTTGATTGCATACAGTCAGCAGATAAAATATCTTCAAAGCCCCTGGAATACACAATGTATCTCGTAAGATACAATTGTGAATGAATAAAACAAACAATCACATATTTATGAGGGGTTTTTTTTAATCCTTGACAAGCTATATCTTCTATTAAAGGATTTAAAAAATAGTAAATGCATTCCCATGAAGTCTGCTTTATAAGAAGAAAAATGCATATTTTGTAAACTGATGCAACTTCTAGCAAGCTGGCAGGAAATGCCACAGTAGAAATCACAGACCACCAAGTTGCACAGTAGTCAATAATACTGCCTGTATTCAAAAAATTGTCTCTGACATGTTTTTCTACTTGGAAATATCCCACAAATCATAGACCAAAAGATAATCTGATCTCTTGTAAAGTGTCATTTTCGAAGTTACACTGTGTACAAAACATTACTGAGGCCCAAGTTCTCATAGCCTCAGCCTCACCAAATACCTTCTTTTTGGTCAGTCATGCAGCAAGGTGACATTAAAATAAAACAAAGGGCATTCAAACTTTTCCATAAAGGAATTAAATCAGCACAGCAGCAAGACACTCCTCAAATAGGCCAGCAGGAAGCCAATAAGAAAGCAGATACTTATCAGCCAACAAGATAAGCCACACCTGCATTTATTTTACTAATTGTAATTTTGTACTCCTGGATTTTTCAGAAATCTTTTGTTGTTTCTTTTCTAGCCCTTGTGAAAATAACTGTTCACTTTTTTAGTTTTAGTTTTCTGGAATAAATCTGGCATTACCCTAGAGAAAATCCTCTATTATTTTATAGAAATCTACAGGCAACAAAATATCTTTAGGTTTTCAAGAGGTAGGCTCTTACAACTTGAACAGCACAATGGTCCTCCAGCAGTCCCCCAATTCCCGAGGAATGTGATCAGTAGTCCTGTGAGTTCAACTCACCTTTGCAGAAGGGTCATCCACAGGCCCCCTGAATTTACTGCAGAAATTATTCCTAATTCACTGGAGCACAATATTAATTACAACAGAGATTTGTGACTTCAGCCCTCACAAGAATATATGCATCAATATGCTAAAAGACAAAGTTTGATTTATGCCTGGGTCTGTGTATGCTTTCACTCTTCTTCCTCATTTGTTTTCATTTTAGCAGGATAATTAATTAGTTTTATATCACAACTCTGTGTAGGCTGAAGTGCAGACCCAGGCCCTTTCCACAGAGTTATTGGAGACAGTAAAATTGTCTGTGGGCACTGTAATAGCAACAAAGGTGATCCTGTTTATTGACACCCTTTGACCCGATGCAAGACGTTTCCTTGGTATGCAATGGCAGTAGTTGCCTTGATATTAGAGAAGCAGAGCTGTACAAGTCACAGCCTGAACCGAGAATCAATAATACTTGAGGAAGGATTCCTCAGTGCAGGGAGTGAAAATAGTGCCTTGATCATGAATCAGTCATTTTAATTATTCATTACTTGACATCTTCACTCTTCTATATCTTCATTCTTCCATATCTTCACTCATGATCATCAGTAATCAAGTGACTTATTTTGTTAGCTTGCACACCAATCAAATCCACTTCCATAAGTCACACACACAGGTTTGGTAGTACAGGTTGCCTGTGACTTTGAGTTTCCAAAATGTCATTGACATTTGAGTGGGTTGACCCTGGCTGGATGCCAGACACCCACCAAAGCTGTGTTATTACTCCACTTCTCAGCTGGACAAGGGAGAGAAAATATAACAAATATTCGTTAGTTGAGATAAGGTCCAGGAGATATCACTCAGCAAATACTGTCATGAGCAAAACAGATTCAATCTGGAGATACTAACTGAATTACTAACAAAATCAGAGCAGGATAATGAGAAGTAAAATAAATTTTAAAAATATCTTCCCCCTACCTCTTCCTCCTTCTCCCCCTCTACCTCCTCCCCAGCAGAGATGCAGGGAGGCAGGGCACGGAGGATTATGGTCAGTCATCACACATTGTTTCTGACACTAAAGAGGAGTCCTTCCCCTGCTGCACTGTGGGGTCCCTCCCATGGGAGTCAGTTCTCCATGAATGTTTCCTATGTGCATCCATTCTACAGGCAACAGTTTTCCACAAACTGCTGAATGTGGGTCACTGCCACAGGATGCTGTCTTTCAGGCATATATTTTACCTATAATATAATAAGAAAAACTACAGGCCAAGACAAAGTTGTTAACAAAGTAGATTGTTCAATTTTTTGCTTTTATTTTTTACTAGTGTCTCTTCTCTCTTAGAATTATATTAACTGTGTGCCATTTACATGACATACAAAACTTTTCACATACTTCCAGAGCATGTCAGTTAGCAAAATCCCCACTGTGTGCTATTTTCTACTACAGTTTTCATTAAACAGATTTATATGTATTAATACTGATTATTCCTGAGGACAGGTCACATGGTGACCACTTGCGTGGGAAATGTTCACCTCCCTTGTACACTCTATTATTAATATTCTTGCTGTTATTGTTCATTTATTATTTCATTTCTGTTTCCAGTAAATTGTTCTTATCCCAAACCCTCAATCTTGAATTTCTGTACCTCTAATTCTACTCTCCAGCCTGCCACAGGGGGAAGGGAAGGCAGAAGTGAA